ACCTGTCAAGCCCTTAAAGCCACTGACCGTGAGGCTTCACAACAAAACCTGGGGAGGTTTATGGCCACACACACACACAGCCAGCCCCAGAGAGGAGCTCCAGCCCGGCTGGGGTGGGACTGAGGGGATGTTGTTTTGTGCTGTGCTTTCATTTAAAAGCAAGCAAGCAAAAAAAAAAGAAAAAAAGAAAAAAAAAAAACCAGCGCTGCATGATTTATTTTAAAGCATCCAAGCTGCTGCAGCCTTCGGTGCTTGGAGAGCGTGTGTATATACATGGGGAATGGGAGATTGTCTCCAAAGTCATTTGCATTCATTCCCCTCTCCTCCTCCTCCATGCAGGGAGTGTTTATAAAAGGCCTTAACCTGCAAAGGGCTGAGTACCTGCAACTTGTGCAGAAACCTGACTTTGGGGTGCAGAGCACCTGATCGGGCTGGTTTTTATTTAGTAAACATTGTTCTGCAGTTCCCTGCTCCAGTGCTGATTTAGCTCTCTACTCCTCTTAGACAAGCTTCCCAAATATTTTTCACAAACAACATTTTCCAGCACCTCTGTGACCCCTCAGGCTGAGCATCCCCCGAGCTCCGGGCAGGCAATGCCGGGGGATGCTCGGGGATGCTCCCTCTGTCCAGGGCTGAGCCCTTCCCTGCAGCACAGGGGATTTGGGCTCCAGGCAGGTCCTCGGGATCTCTACTCCTCTTAGACAAGCTTCACAAAATATTTTTTTACACAAACAACATTTCCAGCATCCCTGTAACCGCTCAGGCTGAGCTCTCCCTGAGCTCCAGGCGGGCAATGCCAGAGGATGCCCGAGGATGCTCCCGCTGTCCAGGGCTGAGCCCTTCCCTGCAGCACGGAGGATTTGGGCTCCAGGCTCGGTCCCTGGGGCTCTCTACTCCTCTTAGACAAGCTTCCCCAAATATTTTTCACAAACAACATTTTCCAGCACCTCTGTGACCCCTCAGGCTGAGCATCCCCCGAGCTCCGGGCAGGCAATGCCAGGGGATGCCCAGGGATGCTCCCTCTGTCCAGGGCTGAGCCCTTCCCTGCAGCACAGGGGGTTTGGGCTCCAGGCTCGGTCCCTGGGGCCGTGCTCAGCTGCCTGTCCCCAGCAGGAGGGGCTGTCCCCTCCCGGCCGCTCCGCTGTCCCTCGCTGTCCCCTCCCGGCCGTTTGCTCAGCCTGACAAGTCGGCATCTGATGGAGCCGCTGCCGTTTGGGTCCCTCAGGGATTATAAGATGACTGCAGCAGGTCCCAGCTATTCTCTGCAGCCCAGCATGTTGTTGCTTCATTAAACGCCAAATTGTTACATTAATTCTAACTGCCCTGTAGAGATGTAGCTGTCAGGAATGATTTACTCGCCTCCAGCTGACTCGGAGCCTTTTTCCAGGCTCTGCAGAGGCGCTGGAAGAGGCCAGGGCCTGGGTGGGAGTGGGATGCAGGGCTTGTGTCCAGCCTGACACTGGCTCTGCCCTCCCTGGACACACAGGGACACTCTTCAGGCCTCGGTGGAAGAAGAACGAGGGAGCTAAAAAACGTGTGGGATTTGCTTTTGCTGAAGTATGGGCAGCTGGTGACGAAGTTTCCTGTCAACAGCACCTTTGCTGGAATATTTACTGAGACCAAATCTCTGGGACTCTCCCTGGTGCTACCCAGCAGCTCTGCCTGCACTGCAGGAGGAAGATCTGGAGGTTTTCCTGCCTTCTTCCTGAGGATTTGGGCAGGGGGAGGTGAGGTGGGCATGAGGGTGATGGGAACACCTCTGCTCGGATGCTCTGATACACCTGGGAGAAGCCACCAGAGGGACCTGAGGGTGAGCTGGCCATGTCCACCTTCCCTGCTCCCTGTGGATGAGGGGTTTCACCTGGCCCACACCCCCAAAAGGGAACTGAGGTCCCCAAGCTCTGTGCCCAAGCTCTTGGTGCCCTTTTGTCACCTCCTCCCCTGGATCAGACTGGGTAGGAGAGGAGGTGTCTGTCCCCTGGGCATGAGGGATTTGGTTTCATTGGCCTCACATGGGAAATCCAAAGAAGAAAAAAACAAAAGCTGCTTTTACTATTTGGCATAAAACCTAAACATTTCTGTAGGGAGCACAAGTTTAGGCACAAAGGTGAATGTGCTGTTTGGAAAAAAAAAAGAAAGACTTTCCTCATTGAGAAGACAAAAAATTTCCTGCCTCCCATGTCGTGCACTGATGGAAATCAGTGGAGGCTGTAAAGTCACCTGCAAATTGAGCAGTGCAAACCTCCTCTCCCTAACTCTGCCTGGGTTTTACAAGCTGTCAGTCAGCTGGACAGTGTTAGTTTTATTTGCCTCCTTCAAATTGGTTTTCTTTTTAATGGGAAGAAAGCATTTATATTAATGGAATCCTTGAGCCTCGGCCCTGAAAGGAGAGGCTGAAATGCAATCCCTGAATTTGAGCTCAGGACACTCAGAGCTCCTCTCCCTGTTCAGAGCAGCACAAGCAGCAGCAACTTCCAGCCCCGTTCTGCCTTTCTGAGCAAAGCACAAAGGCATGGGGAGATTTGCATTTCTTCCTTTCTTAAATTCAGCCATCCCTTGGGAATTCCCAGCAGCATCCGTTATTTACTGGGAGGGAAACGATGAGAAAAATATCTATGAAACACAGGTTCCATTAGTACAGTTATTAGACTGTTTTTATAACAACAGAATCATCCTAAAACCAACTGCATTTCTGTCTTTCTGTTGTTAATTTTTATGAAATAAAAGTATTTCAAAGTATTTTTTAGTCTTTTATATGAAAATGTTATGAATACTTGAACTGGCAAAATATTTTGATGCAAAACACCTTCCCAGATTTGGTGAGGGCATTTCTAGACACAGAATTCTTGAAAATACAAACTCTTCTTTTCTCTTGCAGTGAAGTTCTGCAATCTGCTTGTTTTAAATCCCACAGTTTTCTATTTACTCCATAAATTTCCTTAAGAAATTTCCCTGTGATGTAACTACAGGTTGGCAGCAACAGTTGTCTCCTTATCATTCACTTCTGGAGAAGGAAGGAAAAGCTGCTGAGCCCAGCTCTGGACTCAGGAGCTCACAACTGAAGGAAACAATTTTTTTGCCTGGGATTTCTCCTGTCCCTGCCATGGCTCTTGGAGTGAATCTCCTGGAGAGAAAAGGGAATTTCTCTGTTGGGCGAGCAATTCTTCCCTAAAGCTGTGCCCATGGACCTGCTCTGCTTTGGGCAGGCTCCTTGTGCTCCCTGAGAGCAGAACCTGGAGGGGAAGAGCAGGAGGGGGCGATGGGCATTGTGGGCAGCACAGCCCCCAAACTGCCCAGCAGTGCCATGAGTCCTTTAGAAAAGGTGAGGAATAAAATCTGGGATGTTCCAGGTACCCACAGGTACCCGGGCATCACCCCAGGCTGTGCTGCTGCTCCATGGGCACTGCAAAATTTCAGTGCAAATATTCCCTGAATTCCCAGGGCAGTGAGGATCTCAGAGCCCACGTGTGTTAAAAAGTGTCTGTCCTCAGATCCTCAAACCAGAGAGCTCAGCACAGCCTGCTCTGTGCCCCCAGCAGTGTGACCATGGACATGTGGATGTGTGTGCTTGTCTGGATATGTATTTGTGTGTACATAAATATAAATATATTCATATGTTTGGTCAAATTGACTCCCTGAGGATTTTTCCCCCTTCTTTCTGATCAAAATATTTCCATATCTGTGTTTGACATTCACGACTTTCTGCAAACAGACAGCATCAGAGTCTATTTTCATCAGCCATCACCTTTGCCACAAATGCTGAAAAAGAACAACGTCCCATGAAAAATATGATCAAAGCCAGAGAAATCCTGTTCAGATCTCCCAAGGACTGCTACCTCCCATGTCCTCATTTTTTTTTTGTTCCAAAGCATTTCTACATCAGTGGGTTTGCTCCTCTGTTGAAAGGGAATATTTCAACACTTTGTTCAATCATGGCATCAAGTTTTAAGTGTTTTTAGTTTTTCAGGTTTTTTATTCACTGATATTGATGTGAATTTATCAAAAGACTATGTAAAGTTTAGCTGACAAATTTATTTGTAACCTTGAAGTATTTGATCATCAGAGAGAGAGCGAGAATATAAATAAAAGACACTGGACATCCACATAATCTACAGTTAATTCCATAATTTTTACAGATAACAATATACACATTGTCTTGCCTTTCCTCACAATCAGCTTGCACGATATCTGTGGAAATACACAAATGCCTGGAGCAGGGAGGTGTCCCCAGGGAAGGGGTGCTCACTCCAGCAGTGCCTGGGGAAGGGCTCGTTTTAAACCCGGCCCCCCGAGAAGGTTTTTGGCAACAAGACATCAGGGTGATTTTTGAGACACTTTGCAGTAAAACTGATACAAAGAAATTTCAAGGAAAAGCATAAGATCCACAACCCAGATCCACCACCGGTGTCCCTGGGTCAAGAAAATTCACCTCTTGACCTGGTGATGAACGTGGAATTACTTGGTAATAAATACATCTATTCACGGTTTAATGCTTATATGGAAGAGTCAACCTAGCAAGCTACAAATTAAAAAGGGGAGAAGCAGAATTAACATATGATTTTCATTTTACAAAGGAAAAGGGCTGTTGATAAATGATTGGCATATTAAAGAGCATTTTGTTTTAGAAAAGATAATGTAAATTCAAATAAAACAAAACATACCGCATTGGTGCACTTTTAAAAAATATGTTGGAAGAACAGAGAAGTTTCCTACCATGGATTTCTGAAGTGATTCACTATGAACATTTCTCCTATAGAAATATAGACATTGTCACACCTTTCACCGTGGATGAAGATTTTATTTTCCCTTAAAAATGTTTCGGTGTGGATGGGTGATGGAGCAAGTCCTCGCTTTGGAGAATGCACCGACAACAAAATGCAAAATACCTCATATCAAATCTGTAAAGCACAAGTCCTGGTGTTTGGTAAAGACACGAGATTCGGTTTGGTTGGGACGCTCTGGGTGCCAATGGCTGCAGTGCCAGGGCCTTTGTCCATCATCATCATCATCATGCCAGGCTCATCTCCGAAATCCCCTCTGCTCCCTGCGTGTCACGGCCCTCACGGCTGTCCCTCTGTCCTTTCCAAGAGCAGGTGACATTTCACAGCACCGAGTCCTTTCCCTTCCCGCTGCCTGGGGGTGGCCCCTGTATCAAAACTGAGCGTGGTCGACCTCATCGAGCCAGGAGGCCGGGCTGGCCGGGAAATCGGGGTACCCGCCGCTGCTGCCCGTGGAGAGGTCGGAGCTCGGTCCATTCCCGGCCAGCACCCTCATGGGCTGGGGCACCCCTGCTCCGCTCTGTCCCATGATGGCCAGGCCGTTGTCGGGGTACACCAGGCTGGAGATCAAGGGCTGGTGGCCTGGCAGGGCCTGCAGGGCCGCGGGCGACGGGGGGATGCCGTAGGGGCTGCTGGAGCGCAGCTCGTGGAACGGCTCCGGGGCCGGGATGGCGCCGTGCTCCAGGGCAAAGCTCCCGTTGGTGCCCGCCTGCCGCCCCAGCGCCGGCGAGGCTTCGCTCAGGGTGCTGTAAATCCCGTTGGAATGGCTCATTTCCGACATGGAGGGCTCGTCTGCAAGGGAAAGGGACTGGGTTAATGGAAGAGCACTGGTCAACCAGGAACTCCTGCAGAACCTGGTATAAATAGATTAAAAGGATGGGAGCTGAGCAGTCACGCTCTTCCTCTTGTAATTCCTTATTATTCCCATCCTTGTTGATAAATCTTCATAGGCAGCCATGGGATTAATTTTTTTTCTGAGTACAAACATCTAATACATCTTGGATTTTAAAAATATGCATGAAAAGTATATATTAAAATATATGACTGTGATTTAAAAATAATTCTTTAAAGGCTAAGTGAATATCTTCCACCTTTTGTTTTGTTTCAATGTCTTTCCACCTTTTGTTTCTATTTGGTTTTGAGATTTATCTTGAATTTTGATATTGCTTTTAGGAGCTACCTGAACCAATGCAAGATAAATCCCCCATTGCTCAGGAAGAGAGATATTAAATTAAGGTATTTGTCTGCTCAGGAACAGGCTAATGAAACCACAGGAACACAGAATGTATTTGTGTAGCTTAAAAACACTCCTGAAAAATGAGCAATATTTTTAAGTTCCCAGCAAAAATTTTTTATATTTGTTAGGGGCTTATGGACAGTGAGAGCTGCTCTGTTGCTGGGGATACAAACCTGTTTGTGGCATCCAGCTCTCAATAATTGTTTGACATTTTTTAGTTATTATTTATGGACTATTCATATTTAATGAGCTGATACACAGTGTGCATAAACAGACTGAAAATCAAACAGTTTTTAGGAGCACGGGAGAGGAGCTGAGATGAAAAAGTGTGTGTTTATAGATACACAATCTGTGTAAATATTTACAGAGGTTTGCATTTCAGTTTCTCTCCCATTCCTAAAAATGATACAAAAATTTGGGATGGAGCTGGGATTGTGTAGAACATTTTACTGCAAATGTAACCCGGCCTGGGGCCCTGTCCCTGCAGGGATGGAGAGCGAGGGGTGAGCTGCTGTTGGTCTGTCCTGGGCTTGTCACCAGAAATCTCGGTCCCAAAAAGGGGACACTGCTGCAGAAGCCGCCTAACATGCACCAATTTGCTTTTTGCAGCACAGGAACAGCTCCCACAGGACTGAAGAGCCCTAGAGAGCAACCGCACAATTAAAGCCATCCCTAAATAAGACAAAAAAAACAAAAAAAAACAAAAAAAAAACAAAAAAAAAAAAACCAAAAAACCAAAAACGCACTAATTTTCCCACAGACACATTCTGTGGTTCTGGGCTTCCTGATTGTCTATTTCAAGAATCCCTTGGAAAACCATGTCTGAGCAGCGGCTCTGAC